TAGAATCTAAGGAATTAGTTTCTTTAGTACTACCAGCATCACTATCGCTATCTTCAATTATATTCACTGCTTTACGTCTAAATTGTATCTCAGATCCCATTAAATTACTATCATCATCCGCTAAATAAAAATACTATGATTATTTATTTATAATTTCATTGCAAAACAATCAATAATATTATTTCTATCTACAACTAAAAAAAGACAAGTATATTTTTTTCTATGTTCTTTATTTTTAATTTTAAATACAAGATATAAACTTAAAAAGATATAATAGTCATATTAGAAATTATTCTTGAATAACATAACAAGAAATGGACACCGGTTTTATTGACCTAAAAATTGAAATTCGAAAATAAAAAAACTCTTACACATATTCGATGGTTTCAGTTGTTTCTTCTGAAATCGAAATTGTCGTAAGTTTCCTGAAAGACTTGAACTGCTTGCATCTGTTTTCGGTGAATTCGAATCCGACATCTCGTTAAACGAATGAGAGACGCTGGCGAAAACACATTTTTATGAAGGCAGCTTTTAAACTTGTTTGACAGGTGCATTCGTAAAAGCTCCGAACTAAGAAAAGAGATAGATGTCCAACAGGTTAATATAATTACCTATTTTCTTATAATTTCATGTATTTCATTTTTGAATTTTTAATGATTTACATAAATTTTTCTATGACCATTTATTATTTTTTATTTTACAGAAATCAAATAAAAAAAGAATATTAAAACTTATTTTATTTGAGAAAAGTTATTAACTATACAAAGTATAATTAATAAATTAATGTATAAATGAAATAAATTTATTATAATTACAAATCATTTGAATGATAATATAATCATATAATATCTTTTTTATGCAATTTTTTTAAAAAATAAATATTTGATAATTAAAATTGATAATTGAAATCAATAATTACATCAAAAATTTTAATTATATTATAAAGACTTATTCAATATACATTATGTCTATTCTTTCAAATTTTTTAAATAATAAAATTAAATAAAAAGAGTTAATAATATAATTTTATATACTTACATATTACATATATATATATATATATATATTTTTTAAATATATAATGTATATGTGAAAATTTTTCATACGATTTCACCCAAAAGATTTCGCAATTATAATATTCGTTTACTATTATGTCAATTATATTGTAACTATGCACGTTATGCAGTATGTTAATCATATGAAATTTTGTTTAACTTCTGCTAGCTGTCAATTGAAACATTTATCTTCATGTTAATCAAAACTGATTTAAATAATAGCAGCATGTTTAGATATGTTATATGCATAAAAAACAATAGAAAAATATAAGATGTTGTTGTATACTTTAGTAGGAGGTTATATGTTAACGTCAATGATACTTTTTAAATATCCAACGTTATTACATAAAAAGAAACAAGTGAAATTTATGTGCCATCATATCAGTCACAGAGGTGGTACGTTTTCGAATTTTCAGTGATTCAATAATTGATATTATTACGTACATAAAAAATACATTTCTTAACAAAAAAAATTATTTTTCAGGGGCAGGTGAAGGATACGAAAATACAATGCATGCCTTTAAACGGTTAGTTTAAACTTTTACTTATTATCTCATAATTATTAAGCATAATGATTAAATATAACAAAATGATAATTAAAATGAAATTATAATAAATTAAATAAAGTATTACTTTAAATGATTATTTTTATACTTTTAATTACATATAATAATTTTTAAAACGTTTTCTTGTTTATTTTAGAGCTGTGGCAGTTGGTACAGAAATGTTAGAATTAGATTGTCATTTAACAAAAGATGGACAAGTAGTTGTATCACATGATCATAATCTTTTACGTAGTACAGGTACAAATAAAAGTATTTCAGAAATGAATTACAGAGATCTACCTCTATTAAAACCACGTCTTCCAATAGATTTTGATCCAGGTATATTTATATAGTTTTTAAAATTATTTATATTTGAATAAAATGATTTAAAAACTATAGTTTCACAGATGTAGAATATGTTGGTACAGAAAAAGAAGAAGATAGACGATTTGCATTATTGAAAGAAGTATTTGAAGCATTTCCCAATATACCAATTAATATTGACATTAAAGTTAATAATGATGAACTTATAACAAAAGTATCAAATTTAATCAAAGAATATAATCGAGAAGAATATACTGTATGGGGAAATTTTAGTGATGAAATAACACAGAAATGTTTTAAAACGGTATTTAATATATATATATTAAAGTTAGATAATGTATATATATTAAGATAGATTAAAATATTAAGTCATAATAATATTAATTTCAATTATTTTTTTCCACAGAATCCTAATGTAAATTTATTATTTTCTATGAGACGTGTAACTCTATTAATAGTTTTCTTATACACTGGTTTATTACCATTTATACCTTTAAAAGAAACACATTTGGAGATATTTCTACCTTCTATTTATTTGAGGTGCTTTGAATGTTTTATTTGATAATTTATTTATTTAAATTACTCAACATTTATTACTTTGTTACAGGTGTAAAGGAAATCCAAATCCAACATATTTACCTTTGGAAAAAGTAATTGTAAGAACTCTTAATGTACTTCTAATAAGACGATGCTTATTTAATCATTTAAGAGCTCGTGGTATACATGTAAGTTGTCTTTGAATTATAAATCAGAATATTTTAAAAACACATTTAAATATTAAGAAAATATATATAATTATAATATATTAAAATATTTAAATGTACATTTACAGGTTTATTTTTGGGTTTTAAATAAAGAAGAAGAATTTAAGAAAGCTTTTGATCTTGGAGCTACTGGTGTAATGACAGATTATCCTACGAAATTGAAATTATTTTTAAATAATTTTTCTATTGAGTAAGATATTAAATATAGTGAATACAAGCGATATTAATATATGTTAGATATATAAAATATTCATTGATTTATTTCCAAGGAATATATATACTATTATAAAATATTACAAAAAAAGTAAAACCTTTAGACAAACAAATGCTATAAATTATGAAAAATATATTTTTATTCCATGCACATATTAATAATAATTAAGTAAGTAAAAATAGCTTATTTTTAAAAAAAAAAATTGCATATAGCACAAGCAAAAATAAACTTCAAAAATTACATAATAAGCTTATTATAATAAAACAATTTATATACTATTTAAAATAAAAAATATAAAATTATTTAAATTATAAAATTATTAAAATATAAAATATTCAAAAAATATTCATAGATGTTGATAAAAATATGTTGATAATCTCAAAAACACTTTTGAGATATATTCAAAAAACTTGATATTTCAATATGTTTGAAATAAAAAGTTCAATAACTGTAAAGATATTTTTATAAAATGATTATTAATTTAAATTTTCACATATTAATATAATTAATTAATGTAAAACATATTTTATCATTATGTCAACTAAATATTAATTCGTATTTATATAACTTTAAATATTAATTCGCATTTATTGCATGATTAGTATTATTTTACTATTTTATACGTACTAAAACAAACAAATTAAGATCCAAAGTTGTTAATAAGTCGTAAGTATATAATTATTGATATCGCACATAAATTTTTATTATTTATATAAAATTTGTTGCATACACATTTGTTATATACATACACATTTATAAGTAAAGATATATTAACAAATTTGTGAATAATTTCTGCCAAAAAATTATTTTTTTAATTTAATTTATATTTATTAAAAAGGCAATTCAAAGTTTTAAAAAAATATATATCGCACATATATAAGAATTTATATATCGTTATCTTTGTTCTAATACCACTAATACTGGAATTTTAACCACTAATACTAATACTAGAATTTTTAAAGAAATTGAATTTTGAATATTTCTATATTTAATTTTGAATAATTTAATACGAAAAATAAAAAAAATATTTGCAAATTTAATTTATAATTAACTAAAATTAGATTTTTATTAAAATTAGATATTTGTCTAATTAAAATAGCATACGTAAGAAAATAAATAAATTATATATCAATAATTATAAATATCTTTATATAGAATTGTTTATGATGATTAAAAATTAAATCAGATATGTGATATTAGAATGAAAGAATCGATATATATAAAATATAAAGATAAATAGGAAAGTTGAATACAAAATAGAAAAACGAAAAATTAAATTGCTAAAAAAATATTGGACTTATTAATGTAATAAGTAATATAATATCACTTTTTTGCATACAATTTCAAAGATACATGAATTTTCAAAAATTCATAATATTTCAAATTAGATCATATAATTTTGTTTAATGAAAAAAACAAATGAAACATGAAAACCAAATAGAATACGAACTTTAAAATTGTTATAATTTAAATTATTAATATAATTGAAATTTTACAAAAAATCTAATAGAAACTAAAAAAAAAAATTATCAAAATTAAATTTGTACTAAATGAGTAAAAAAATCGTACATATATTGTGCTGTCTTGTTATTCATTTTCTTATTTCTGCACAGTATATACAGATATTGAAATGATCATATATAATTGTTACTAGAATTAATTATAAAATGTAAGAAATCATTTATTATTTGATTACAATGAAAAATGTTATGGATTTTAAAATAATTTATTATTATTATTTCAAAATTTATAATTCATTATTTTTAGAAATTACTTGAATAATATATTCCTTTCTATCAGTATTATAAAAAAAATTATCTAGTAAAAAAAAAAACAAAAAATATAAGAAATAAAATATAAAATTATTATCTATTATATTTTAAGTTTTGTACTCTCTTAATTGTCATTTCGAGAACAAATAGTTTGCAAACAGTTCTTAATTATAACTTGTACAGAAAGAATATTTATATTATGTATAAATATCTGTACTTTTATATTTGGAATAAATTGTAACATACTTATAAACTTTTATAATTTGATAATTTGTATATAAAATAATGGAAAAATCGCATCTTTCGATCAATAATTATTATTATATTATATTTTTATATACTTGTTATTATTGATTCTTTGTGTAATTTTGAAAATTTTTTCGTATTCACATATTTATACTATTTATTCAGTTTTGTATTGCACAATTTAATGTAGAACAATTTTATAAGAAATATATTTTATTTAAATATATAAATATCTATAAAAAAAATTCTTTTGTATTCTTTTCCTAAATATTTATAATTATTATTTGTACTTAAGATTTATTACATTTATGGTATAATATAGATTTTGGTTTCTGAGTACAATCATTAGGCATTTGTGTATAAGTAAATACTTTGCCTTTACAATAACAACAAAATTGTTTAGAAGGATGAGAATCATTAAAATGTTTTTCTATAAAAGAATGATTTTCAATAACCATACTCATATTGCAAATATCACAATATATTTTTGTTGATCGAAATCTTGAGTGTACTGAATCAGTATCAGTGCGTTGATTCAATCGATCTGAATATTTATGACTTGAATTAGTTGCTTCAATATTTTGTGAAGACATTTTATTCCTATAATAGAAAATAATTATTATAACAAATAATATTTATTATAATATAATTTTATATCTTAAAATGATTGTATGAAATTTATAAATATATTTCTTATATGAAATAAAAAATATTAAAATTTATCGTATAAATATATTTAAAAAAATATATTTAAAGTTTTATTTTAATATTAAAAAATACATATATATTAATTTAATATAATAAAAATTTTAAAATAAATAAATTGAATATTGTAAAACTTATTTTATCATTATGTTAATTAAATGTTAGCTTAGAATACAATTAAAAAAGTAAAATAAAAATTACAATTATTATAAAAATATATATATTTTCAAATATTTTTGAATTTTATTTTTTATATAGGTTAGAAAATTATAACCTCAAATTATATACTTACATGAGATTTTCTTTTATTAATTATTAGTGACCATAATAATTAGTCTTTATTAATTAACATACTTGTTTATTTTACTATATTATCAAATATAATAGTAACTGTATCATTTATAATTACTTCTTATCTTTTATCAATATTTTATAATAAAATCATATTAGTAGTGCCAATTTCATTCACACATTTATAGACAACAATGAAAAGTGATAAGTGAAATTATGATTAATCAACTAACTTTATGATTCATTACTTTTATATTTTAACATAAAAAATCTTAAAATAAATCTTATCTTAACATAAAAACATACATCTTATTTAATAAATTTTAATATCATAAAGATAAATAAAAATACAAAATTAATTATAAATCATGTATTTTTTTAATATGAAATAATTAAGATTACTTAAATTTGTAATACATAATAATTATACATTTATATAGGTTTTATTTTAAAATGAAGTCCAATAAGAGAAAATACTAAGCATTTCAAATCTTGTACAAGATAATAGAAACATCTTAATCCTTCTGGATCTCGTGATTGATTTACATCTAATAATGAACCAGTTTTTGAAGTAGTAAATGATATATGTTCATCACCAATTACTATTTCTAGTTCTTGACGTCCAACACGGTCTGGTTGTGGCCATAAAGAATCATCTTCTTGCATTATTTCAGAATCTTGAATAATCCTCTTCAATTCCTCCATCACACATTGATGCACATATGCTTCTTTTCGAATCATTGTATCATTTTTATAATTTGAATTATTTGCGTATCGTAATTTACCGTCAGGTCTAAATTCAAATTCAAGAAATTCGTGACCGAATTTTCCTTTATGACCCACATAATAGCGTATATAAAAATCTGTTGACATTATGACAACAATTTATTGATATTTCACCTAAAATGATAAATTCACAATTTATATTTTAATATAATATATATATTAAAAACGACATAAATTACAGAGGTTATTTTATGTACCTTAATATTTTTTTCCTTATGTAATAGATTGATATTATTATTTATTCTATAAAGATGTAATTCTTTAATAATTTTAATAAGTTTTTAACAGTGTTGTATTGTTACACATGGCAATGTAAAACAAATATTTTTAAACAATGGAAGTATATCGTACATTAAATTGTAAGTGTGAGTGTTATAGCGTTATGGTTGCCAAGCCACAAAACAAACAAAATATAGAATAGATTTACTATTTAGTGGAGTTTTGTGTCCTAAATTTTGTGTTTTTTAAATTATCGATCATATTATCCTATCATAATTCAATTTTTTAAGCATATTTTTAAGTTTTGAATATTTTGAATTGGCTATAAATATATTTTATTATTTAATAATTCTTACAAAAAAATCTAAAGATACATTCGATAATCGAAGTAATTAATCAAAAAATCAAAATAATATTAGTCCTCATGTATCAATTCAATGAGTTATATAAAAAAAAAATATTATTTAATTTTATTTTTAATATTTTTAAACATATAATTTTGTCAATTATCGAATAACTTATATATAACATATAAAAATACAAAAATATACTACGTAAAATATATATAAACATATAAAAATTGAATCAAATAAATTTTTTTGAACATATAAATTTTACAAAGCAATTATAAAAAAAAAGATCAAATATGTGAAAAAAGAGAAATAGAGTAAAAATTATGAAATCAGCATCTCTAAAATGCTGATGAAATATAGATAAAAAAAACAAATAATAAAAAAGAATAGAGAGAATAAGAATTAACTATTATATCATTTTTTGTGTTTTAAAAATATTTTTTTAAAATAGAATAAGATAAAATAGAATTTGAGAATCAATGCCATTTTTTAACATTTTTAGAAAAATATTCTTAATATTCAAGAGATGATGCTAATAGTTAATCTTATCTTTATTGTTTTCTATTTTTGTTTTCCTTGTCTATGCATGTTTTTATAATATTCTAGAAATGACATTAATTTCACTTTAATTTTTCAATTTTTCAACAGATAAAATTATATTTTTAGAATTAAAACTATTGAAAAAATAATTTGAAATTCTAAAAAATGATAGCTGTAATAAATTAATTATTTCTTTATGCTAATATATTAGCATTAGGAACTTTGTCATTTTTTCATCAATTTATTTAATTTTATTGTTTTATATTTATCTTTTATATATTTATTTATATCATATTTTTAAGAAATATATATATATATATATGATATAAAATATTATATATATATATATATGATATAATGATATATAAAAGTACAAAAATATATTTTACAAATTATAAATATAACTACATTTAAAATAAATATAATACATAATACGAATATAATACAAATTATATTATACATGATGTAAATATATTGAATGATAAATCTATTCTAAGATATTAATTGTGATCGATTATTAAGGCGATTCATATGTAATTGCAATATTATATAAAATGATTCAGTTTTCACATTTATTACAGTTTATAATTTTAAATTTATAAGTTTTACAATTATTTTATCAATCATAACAATGTTTATGTTAATTTTTTAAATTTAGGATCTTTTAATTTTTAAAAATTTGATAAAAGAAAATTTAAGAAAAGTTATATTCTATAAAAAATATCGACTAGCAAATAAAATATTAATAAATTATAATTTTATGTAAAGAATATTAAAATAAATTATTTTTAACTTTATATTTTAAAAATGCGATGTTAAAAACTAACATTTTTACAAATTTTGTATAATGTAAAGCATCTTAAGCTCGAAATTTAAATAAACTTCATTATACTTGTCGCGAATCTACCTTTGTAACAGAACATCGTTCAGTAGTGATCCAGTGACACCTGAATTAAGTTATTTGCCACGCAATTGTCTCATTTTGTCTCGAATTAATAATTTTGATTGTATCAAGAATCATAATAATCAAGAAATCGGATTATTCTTCGTATATTTTTTGCAATGGAAACTATCAACAAGAAATATAACACTAGTGACATGTGCAAATATTAAAATAAATCGAGTAAATGAGTGAAATGTTTATGATATCAACTTTGATGTATGTACCAGGGTAGTAAATTAAAGGATGAAATTATTTTGCTCGACGAGTTCACATAATTTAAACTCGTCATAGCAAAAATTTGATTAAACATCATTTATTGATAATGAACAAAACTCATATGGATAAAAGACTGAATCAGTTGCCAACTTGGCTGTGGACTAATTCCACTACTTTACCACCAATCTATAAAATGGTATGGGAAGCAGTACGGGAAGATAAAATCAGAACAAATGGAATACAAACCGAATTATTAGTTGATACTAACAAAGTCTTTCCTTTATTGCTCACAAGTCAACTTCCCACAGAAGTTCTTGGACACATATGGAATTTGGCAAATCAAAAATATGCTGGACAGCTCACAGAGCAAGAATTATATATTGTTCTTGCTCTTGTTGCTGCAGCACAAGCTTCTTATACATTTAATAGTCTAGATATATTACATTTACTTCCATTTCCACCTACTCCATATTTAAATATTGAATGTTTAATGAATCTACAGCCTATAACACAAATGAATTCTGCAGCTAAATTTCAAAATGATCAAGATAATATTGAAATTGGATTTATTGCCTCAGATGAAAAATATTCTTTAGAGACTAAAGGAAAAATGAAATTACAACAAGGAATCATATCTTCAGATTTAAATGTGCAAATGGCAAACAATGTACCTGGAAAAATTTCATGTTTTGATAATAAATCTTATGTCTCTTCTACTACAATATGGGATACCAATAATATATTAAGAGATACAAAGCAAACTTCACGCCTTCAATTAGATTCTAAACCAGCAACAGATTTGTGTGATGACTTTTCTGAGTTTCAAAGTGCTCCAATCCCTAATATTTCTAACATTCCCATTTGGGATACTAAACAAGGTTCAGCTATTGGAAGTAGACTTGCAAATCATAATTTAGGTGTTAAAAAACCAATGGAAAAGTCAAAAAAAAATAATATAAATGCTAAATCTGTTCATGGCACTACTACTACTCAAACACGTATTACATCAGTACCATTAACTACAATATCTCAAAGCAAAGATCAGTCAACATTAGATTGTTTATCAGATTTATTTCCTAAGTGTACAATAAAAAATCAATCTAAAACAGTAATTCTTAAGGATACAGTGATAAGAAATAATGATCCGCCCAAGGACCATAGTGAAAATGTAAAAGATTATACAAATACAGAAATTGTACATTTAAATGATAAAGATGTTTTGAATAAGTTAGAATGGATTGATAAGGTATTTTATTATATAAATTACATTAATTGTATTAAAAGTTTAAAGTTTATATAAATTTATTATAGTTTAATTAAATGTATAATTAGGTTCAATCAGCAACATTGGAACCCACTCAGCAGGATCTTATGAATCTCCAACTTGTTGAAGATAAATATAGTGCCTTGCGTGCATTGGTTCAAGAAACAAGTATATCAACTGAATCAGATTCAAACGCAAGTTACAATAATCAATCAATTGATGAATTTGGAGAATTTGTATCTGCAGAACAACCTGTTAATACTCCTGCCATAACTGCTTTAGATACTGACAATTTTGTTGATATTTTTACTGATTTTGAGTTTAAATCTACTAACAATAATACAAATGCAGCAGATTTTAATTTTATGCCAGATATTTCTGAATCATTTGACAATCTTAAGCTTGAAGATAACATAGAAGAACGCTCCTTAGAGATAGGTAATTAATATTGCAGTTAAGTTATTCTATTGTTTTTTATATTAAATAATATAATATAATAGCTATATTTTATTTTAAGGGAAAGCTCTTCAAAAGGAAGATGCCATATCAATTAATAGTATAGAATTTACGAATGGTGCATCAAATGCATTAACTCGATCAGGATCTGTGCCTAGTTTAGATCTTAAGTCTTTCTTACCTTCAAATACAGAAGATGAACAAATAATGGATACTACACACCAGGTTAATTTTCTTATTTTTAATATAAAAGGATAATATAAAAGTCTAAAAGGATAATATAAAAAATAATTTAATTTATATAATTTTATAGTCAGAATATTGGGAATGGAAGCAATATATGGAAAGCTGTGTATTATTGTTACAAATAGCTGCAAATATATTTACAAATATTAATTCAGAACTTATATTGCACGAAGTTTTAAATTCAGCACAAGGATATAATTTTCTTTGTAGTAAGTAATATTGTAAAAATTTACTAAATAAAATGAACTCTCAAAGAATTTATTAATTTTTTTATAATATTTTAAAATGAATAATGCTATTATTGAATTTTTTTTTTTAAATCAGATTTAGCTGAAGTCGCAGCTGTTTGTAGACGAGTTAATTTTTCATATAAAGAAATGGATATTAACATAATAGGTTTTGATGAACTTTTAATGGATATTGATCGAATTTGGGCAGAAATGGAACCATTTTATGCAAATATACCAGTAAGATATTCTTATATTTATTAATTTTTATTAATTCAAAGTTTTAAATTTGTACATTATCTTTTTATAATAACGTTTTTATAATAACATTATAATAAATTTCAGATCGTTACGGAATTACCAGCTTGGCCTTTACATCAAGGAGAAGCCATTTGTTGCTCACTTTGTTTAACGGTTATTACTAGCGGCAGAGTAGTATATAATGAGAATAATTATCACGTTACTTGTGCAAATCTATGGCTTAATTGTGTAAATAGTAATTTGCCCGTGATGCGGCATCCCGTTTATTCTCATTTGAACACATGTCCAGGTAACAATCATATTTGATATTGATCTGTATTAGAGAAAAAAGACAAAAACTTGCGTTCGAAAATTTTTTAATGTACACATATTAATTTACTATATGAAGATTTATAGAAAACCAGAGTGAACTAACTTTATATTTAATTAATGATTAGAAAATCAAACATTAACATTTTTTAAAAATTATCTAATATAAATGCGGTTTTAAAAAATCTGGGAAATGTTTATGATAAGAAAAAGTGGATTTCACATGAATTGTACATATTCTTTAAAAATCGAACATTTTCAAAATCGTATTAACTAGTTCTTTTAAAAATCTGTACAGATATCAAAAAATTTAGAGGAAATATTAATATACTATAATCTTTTGGAATTAGAAAAAAAGCAAAAGAATCGCGAACAAATC